TCTCCACGTATTTTTGTGTAGAACAGTAGCAGCAACCTTGCATACCACCCCTCTCTCCGACCATACCTTACACCCTATACTACAACATCCGAGTACCACGGCCGCTCAAAATAGTCAGGTGTCGCCCGAACGAAGTGAGAAACCCTTGAGAAGCTGGCATCATCTGCCGCTGGGATGGCCAACGATGCACGGGCATGCATAACAATGACGGTTAGTAATCAATTGGTTTAGGGCCAAATAAATATTGATTGTATGATCCACAAAGTACTCACTCTGATCTTGGGGATGCATCCAGCATAATGTACTAGCGCATCATTGAGGGCAGCTTGTGCACCTGGGTGTTGCTTGGCCCACTTCCTTGCAAACCAGTTGGTGGAGGTGGGTCTTTTTGGTAAATCCACAGGGAGAAAGTAGGACTCTTTGATAAGAGTCCGTGTGCCAGTCTCAGTGGCCTGCCAACAAACAGTAGTGAGATTATTACATTATGCATGCATATCCTTGCAATTCAATCACTAAACAGATTTACCTGCCGCATGGCGGTGTCCCGGTCAGCGGGATCATCCACCGGCACAACGCCCCGAACGCGCCTAGCATGGAACTTCATAATCAGCCCATGCACATTGCGCTTGTTGGACCGACGGTATATTCTTTTTACCAACGGTCCGTGCAAGTGCTCGAACATGTTGGTGCTGAATTCCGTGACATGACCCGCTCGGCGAATGGAGTCGATATAGTGTGACATGAGATGGGTTTTTACAAGGCACCAGGAGGATGGCTCCTTTAGAAAAGCAGCCTGCAACTGCTCAGCCAGCCTGATGGGAGTGGGAGTTTACAGCCTACTTTAGTTGATATACTATCATAGTTTATCAGCAACATCCTCACAACATAGGTTACTGCAACAGCTTAGGTGCCGTGGCCAGGAATTCTTTAATGCGTGGGGATTCACATGCTTGTTAAAAGTACCAGGAAGTCTTCTCCTTGAGATCCCGTAGGGACCGCTCGGAATGCCCCGTTGGCTGGCAACACAAGAGGTACCGGCCAAGATAGGCACAAACGGCATCCATCTGGGGCTGGAGGAGCAGGCCAGCAAAGACAAACACCATGACCTGCAATATTCACAGAGCATAGAATGGCAGGTGGGCATGAGTAGTTGGGAGATAAGTGACAAGATGAGCAAATAGGTTTGGAGGTGGACCTGATGAGATCAGGAGAATGGGTAATGAGATGCAGCAGGGGGTGTGTTGAAGTATGGAATCGAAATGCTGCTTCAGCATGGTGCACACTATCGCACAAGATGATAACATGCACCATGGCTTTCATACCTGCGTGACGGCCCTGTGCTCATAGGCCGCGACACATGCGCCGGTCTCAAAGTAGGCGCACTCTGGTATGCACATGTGGTTGAGGCGCGTGCGGTCGCGAATGATGGACAGGTGCCTACGCATACATAGCAGTTCCGGCCGTTATTGCTCATGTGCGTCACATCCGAATAAAGGATTATTCCCCCTCACGACTTTGGACCATCCGAAGTGTTCCTGCAATGCATGACAAAGAGGGAACGGACACGCGGTCAAACACCACCAATGTAACTTGTCGCCAGGTGGATTAAACCAGCTTCATAGGATGTGCAACGAACATCACACACTCAAGCTGCTCCAGACACATCAGCGCATCAACGGAGGCATGCACACGGATCTGGTTTTGGGTGGCAACGTGGTATTTCCATACCTGAGCATCGTTCCACCACGTTCCTGTTTCTGGCGTGGTATAGCGACGCTCGCCTGTGTCAGGGTCCTCATCAATACGCGCATTAAGCTTGAAGCCGGGCGCGTTGTTGGTATGCCCAAATAGTTCGGCGAATGCCTGGTGTACGTTGGCAAGGGCAGGAGAGAACTAAACCCTGGTTAGTGGCGTTGAGAGTGGGTCAGATCTCATCCAAGCTTAATGAAGACAACTTTCAACAAGCACCACATGGTTGCGGAATCAGCATTGTAACGCAACGGATTCATAGTCGGCTTACCTGAGCTAAGTTCTGGAAGAGAAGACGATGTGGCGGATGACCGTCAATCTTGAAGGTCGCCACTGACCATCCGCGATTGAGCCCTACCAAGCGCTCCATCTCGAACCGCTCCAGATCCTTGCAGTTCCAAATCTCCGAGATCACAAGAGGCGCAAGGTCGGGCTCCGCCATGAGCCGAAGCAGGCCATTGATGTCAACCTGTGCCATTCCCATTCCGCCATTCATGCGCCGAATGGAATGCAGCAGCTTCAACGCGAGTGGATTGAGGGGCATGGCATCGCTCTGTTCGAAGATGATTGTCGGCGGCGCAGCATGACTCACCTCAGGCCGGCTCTCCGGATACTCACTCGTGTCAGCTGCAGGTGTTCCTGGTGGCGGTTAATGTTCATTTTCAGGAGCCCCCTCGTTCACAACCGTGGGTGTTACGTCTTTGTCAGCTTCAGGCACTCGAGGAGGACCGATCACACCGACGGTGTTGGATGCGTTAGACGTGGTAGGGAAGCGGGAGCAACGGGAGCGTCCGACAGAATGTCATGGACGAATAGCAGTGCGTGTAGACCGGCGGACTGTGCAGATCGCGAGGGCCTTGCCACGGCGGAAAGCCCTTGACAAGGGGTCCGCCGTGACTTATGGCTGCCATAAACTTGGGCGTTGGAAAACCATCTGTTGCAGAACTCGCAGACAACGCCTAGCAAGAGCCCATGATTTCAAGATCCGTCTAAGAGCGGAGAAATGAAGTATGAAACTACTAGCCAGTTTGAAGCTTGAAAACGCATTTAGAACACAGTCGATGAAGGCTCTGACTCCAGCACGGTCATCGCCAACGCGCGTACTGTCCATGGCGGCTTGGATCTCTACACAACTAGCACTTGACCGTGGCGCAAATGGGCTGGCTAACGATGGTCGAGCAGCTCGGCCGTGACAAGGCTAGATACAGACCGCTGACAGCACGGCATTTCCCTTTCCTACAGGGCGTATCGCCCCCTCTTACAGTGACCACGACGTGAGCAGGGCCTTATGCATCGGAGTATGGCAAGCTTGGTCGCGAGTGAGCGTTACGAGCACGGTGAGAAGTACGTGCCTTTTGATTCAAAAATTGAGTTTTTGAATCGTGTGTGAGAGTTGAGGTGGGAGAGGAAGAGAGGGAAGAGATCTGTTTGGTGCTGTGATTCTTTCGAGAGTCGCTATAGGGGGATAAACACGACCACGTAGGTGTGCCCAAAGTGGTGCGCACCTCCAGAACCTTGATCCAAACCAGGTAATGACCATGTACAGTTACATTTTACATAGATAGTCATGTCACTCATAATTGTAACACTACCATACTTTAGGGCCTGCTCATAACCAAGCCCTTATTGACAACGGTAATGTTTGGAAACCCGCCTTCTTCTCTAATGTGGTCTGAAAATATACGGGAAGTAACACCATAGCACAACGGTTTCGCCATGTCTTGCAAGACATGGGCCTGAGCGCTGCAACGTCGCCCCGTCGAAATAACGATGTCGATAACGCATCGCCGCTTCTGCGTTATACTCGTGCATCATACCACTCCATTTATGCACCTTGTTGAAGGTCCACGCAGGAATTGAGCCCAATCCAACACCATACCACAACGGATTCACCATGTCTTGCAAGAAATGGGCCTGAGCGCTGCAACGTCGCCCCGTCGAATCAATGAAGTCGATAACGCATCACCGCTTGTGCGTTGGCCCTGTGCTTCATACCACTCCCTTTATGCCCCCATGTTGACGGTCCATGCAAGATTTGAGCCCAATCCAATACCATAACACAACCTTTTACCATTTGGCACTAGTAAGCGTCGTGTTTAAACAAGCTACAACGACATGTAACCGCGTTTAGATTCAACGTGTGCTTAGTACAGTTGTCAGAAGTCCTAGTTATAAAAGCAACAAGAGTGTGCGTCCTAAGACAAATCCAATACCTTACCACTACACCATATTCTAACATTAGCAACCTTTTTTTTTAAATTGTATTTGTTGCAGTTTTGATGCGTATTTTCTCCTATGTGCAACATTGTTCATTTCGCAAAAGCACTGTACTTTGCAAGGTTTTATGCGTGGAGGTCTATAAACTGTTCTAGATATTGCGGTGATTGATGCATTGGCGCCGATTGGCCGACGCATCTCAAAGGACCCCTCTCCCCTTTAACGCACCAAACAAGCTGGACATCCGCTGCGGAAGCAGCGGCTGTGATCGAGCGATTAGTGGGTTTATAATCACGTGGCTAAACTTACACTGTCTGATTGTGCCAGGTCTGCTTACGGACTCTATAGTCTCGCAAGCCACCCCAACCACCCTCGTGCCCCAACCACCAGCTTCCGTCACCCTCATACAACTTTGACGCCACTCGCTGTTTGACACAGGTGTTTCCAGATCGCTCGTGAGTCAGTGTAGCGACTAAGTAATGGGCCGTAGCTATGTGCTTAGTAGCTACTATTTCAGTTGTAACTGTAGCGGAGGATTTTGGCGAGAGAAGATTGATTAGACTCGGTTAAAAGAAAAGGGGGACGAGCAGGCCGGACGACGCTCGACACGGGGGATGTCTTTTCAGACCAACCGAGAGGGTGGGGGCAGATCTCAACCTATTAAAGCGGCTGCCGCGCGTGGCAGTCAACAGAAAAAAGTGGCGGGTAATAAGGCCGCGGTTGAACACAAGAAGACAAGGGGAAGTAACCAACGCCACATAAGCAGGTTTTAGCCGTGAAAATGGATGCAGAAGTTGCCTCTGCTGCCCCCTAGCCCGGTCTGACTGACGACGGCACCATCGGCGGCAAAAAAGACCCTGGGCGAGGGAGCGTGAGTCTTGCCGTCGGTCAGCGGAGAGAGATGGCTCGGCAACAGGAGGAAAGGACGGCGACTCACCCCGCGAAGAGCATCCCGCAACTGTGGAGTCTGAGGCGGAGCATCGCAGCACCATCTGACACTGCTTCCCCTGCCCGTGCTCGAAGTTTCTTCTGACATGGTAGATAAGGACAAGGAAGCTGTGGAAGATTCTACGGAGGAGCCTAAGCATGGCATCGCCAACGTCGGTGGCTCACCTCCATCCGGTGAACGTGGGAGGCGTAGGCAGGGGAAGAGCGATGGGGAGGAGGGGTATGACACCGCCATTGCCAGGGACATCCCTACGTGCGCGAAGAGGAGGCAGACGATAGCCAGTGGTGACGATGCTTGTGGTGCTGAAGTTGGGACAACGCGAGGCACCAGGGATGCAAGTGGCAAGGCGCCTGGTCATGCATTGCGCCATAAGGGCTGACCCAGAGCGAGGAAACCATCAAGCAGAAGGAGGGGCAAGCAAGCAGCGAGGGGGAAGATGCCAAAGCGCGTTGAAGAAGGCCCTGATGAAGCGAATGAGGAGGATGAGGGTGATGAGGAGGAGGAGGCTGATGAGGAGGAGGATGACAAGGAAGAGGACGATGAGGAGGATGCGGAGGAGGAGGACGAGGATGCAGGGGAGGAAGAAAAGGATGAGAATGATGAGGCGGAGAATGAAGATGAGGAGGAGGACGACGAGGAGGGGGGCGACAAGGAGGAGGTGGAGGAGGAGGAGGAGGAGGAGGATGAGGAGGAGGAGGAGGAGGAGGAGGAGAAGGAGGAGGAGGAGGAGGAGGATGAGGAGGAGGAGGAGGAGGAGGAGGAGGAGAAGGAGGAGGAGGAGGAGGAGGAGGAGGAGGAGGAGGACGAGGAAGGGGACGACGAGGATGAGGAGGACAAGAATGAGGAAGAGGAGGGGAAGGAGGATGAGGTTGAGGAGGAGGAGGAGGAGGAGGAGGAGGAGGAGGAGGAGGAGGAGGAGGAAGAGGAGGAGGAGGAAGAGGAGGAGGAGGAGGAGGAGGAGGAGGAGGAGGAGGAGGAGGAGGAGGAGGAGGAGGAGGAAAGGGCGGAAGAGGAAGAGGAGGAGGATGTGCCGGCATTTAAAGGATGGGGCACGTGAGGAAGACGAAGGAGTGGTACAAGGAAGGTGGGGGGCCGGTCTCGTCATTCTCGAAAACGCGTGGCGGTTGACGCAACGCGTGGCGAATCAGCGGGCAAATCGAAGGCACGTAAAGTGAAGGTCGAAACTGAAGGGGGTGGTAAAACGCAAGGGAGGCAGGTAGCAAAAGGCAATGGAGAAGGAAAGGGAGGGCGCGCCAAAGGGGCTCCTGTGGGTCCGGCCAGGAAAGAATCTGTCGGTAAACGTCGCAGCGGCCGCCAAAGCACTCTGCGGAAAGGTGGCAACGAGAAGGCGCAAGCAGCTAAACCGAAAGGAAAGCAGCGAGGTAAGCAACCTGGCACAAACACATGGCATGGCTGCCGTACTTTGTGGTGAACCGTGCCTATTAACACCCTTTTCCACATTCTTTCCCCCCTACAGGGAAGGAGAAGGTCGGCGAATTGTCATGATTTTAATCTTTTCGTAGGAGTATAAAATATAACTTCGTGACTTATAGGATAATTAGAAGTACAGTAACAAGAACAACATTAGCGCGGCTGCATGCCGAAGCGAGCAAAACTGTGTTTTGAGACCCGAGAAGTGAAAATGTATTGTAATAGCAACGGTCACCGGTACGAGATACTTAAGCAGGCAGGCAGTGTAGGATCCGTGCTTGCGTGTTTATTTTCACACCATGCTTATTCTATTCTACTACACTACAAGCATCTAAGCAAAGAGAAGCCAAACAGAGCAAACACTCCACGCCTGCGGACCCACGAGTGTATCCAATCAGCCGAGCTAGGGTTTGTGCCTTCGAGCTAGCTAGTGGTCCGCCAGTTTTTAACAAACATGCAAGGAGCTAGTACTGATGAATAGCTGAGACCTCGTACGCACCCGACTATGGGACGACACAGGGGAACCCAGGCCTACCGCGGGTTGGCGCGATGACGCAATTGCTTCGAGCGGGAAGCCTGGCCCGTCACGACCGACTACGGATTCACCGAAGTATAGGACTTCACATCAGTGGGCCCGAGCGACAGCCGACTGGATGGATTGAGAGCTGGTAGCGGTCTCTGATCCTAGGAATTCGCTGAGGGATCAGCGATGGACGGAAGAAGTACGGGCGCGCTGGCGGGGTCGTGAAGTGGTAATGTTGTTGACTAGAATGCCCGGAATGACCGCACCGAAAGATCAACCCGATGCGAGATGGACCTCTCGCTCTGGACAACCGACGGAGACGCCAAAGGAAGACGCGTTAGTGGCGAGCGGGGTGGCGCAAGTACCAGACGACCTAAATGAAGCGTCGGCGCCTTGAATCGGACGCTGGAAAGCGACTAACCTGCCAAAAGTCGAGATAACGGAACGCTACTTAGGCATCCCAGACATGGGACCGAGCCTGAAAAATTACCTCATGCAGCTCGAGACGGTGCAGTACTGTTGGGAACGAGACGGATATGATCCTGCGGAATTCTTCAGGAAAATGGTGGGGACGCTCTCAGGAGAGGCGGAGACGTTCTATCGCATGATGTGAGACAAGGTGTTGGAGGAGCAAGAACGGAGGATCGAGAGGCTGATCACGGGTCGGGACCCACTCGCCAAAATGCAGAACAGTGGGCCCTCAACTGGCACTTTGACAAGGCCACCGGGACGCCCTTCAGCAACGCCTTGTTCGCTTATGCGTTCAAGCTCTCCTTCAAGAGGGGCGGGGTCGTGTTCACCAAGTTCAAGAGCCGCATGGTGGCATGGGGCCTTTTTTTTAAAGGATGTAGATATGTGTTTGTACACCCATGCCTCATCCCCTAAACCCTTTGCCTGTACTTCATCTAAATCCCTGGTCGCTTAGGCGTTTGCGGTTACGTAGATAGTGAGGACCGAAATCACCCCTTTCAGTTGGCTCATACACCCGTAACCCCCCCTCCTCATAAACCATCCACCCAACCCTACACTACTTTGCAGATCGAGTATCCCATACAGTCGGCAGAGGAGATATTTGACAAGCTGCATGGGGCGAAAGTGTTCTCAACACAAGACCCGCGTCAGGGCTTCAATCGGATCACGATACGGTTAGTCGACAGGAAGAAGACGGCACTCCATGGGCCAAACTATTTGTACGAGTGGCGCTTTATGCCGTTCGGCATGAAGAACACGCCGGCCCTGTTTCAACGCATCATGGACACGGTGCTGCGCGACTTACCAGCCGCCGCCTGCTACATAGACGATGTCGTAGTTTTCAGCCCCGATGTGGAGCAACACGTGAGAGACGTGAAGGCTACTCAAGATGCCATTAGGGACGTTGGGCTCACATGTCTCTCGAAGAAGTGCAGTTTTGGAAACAAGGGGGTGAATTATCTAGGATTTGAGACACAAGGAGGAAAGCTGGGGATTCAACAGGCGAATATAGAAGTTATGGGGTTCCTCCGCCAAAAGACCGAAGCACTCTGCGGGTGGTGCTGGGGTTTCTTAACTACTATCGGAAATTCATACCCAACGTTAGTAAAACCACTGCAGCGTTAAACCGACTGCTGAGGGAGGACCAGAAGTGGCAATGGGGGGAAGTAGAGCAGGAAGCGCTGAAGGCCCTACTGAAGGTTGTGAAGATGGCTACCGTGCTGACGTTATCGAACAAGGAGGATCCGTTCGTGTTGTATACTGATTGGAGCAGCGCAGGGATGGGGAAAATCCTGTGTCAGAAGCAGGAAGGGGAAGAGAAAGTGGTTGCCTTCGCGGCCGGAGTTGTAACCCCGCGGAGGCTAATTATAGTTCATATGTAGGAGAGCAGCTGCAGAAGAACACGTGCAACGATCATACGGAGAAGAGGGGACAGATCATACGGAGTGTCCATCAGCAGCTGGGCCACTATGGCAGTCTGCAAAGCGCCCAGCTGGTGGAGACCGGATGGTGGTGGGATGGGATGCGGAAGGACATCAGAGAATCGAGCTCTGCAGCCGGAACCAAGCCGAGTTGGAACGGTGACGAAAGGAGCTGCAGTCATTGCCTATCCATGGGATCAGATTTAGGTGGTCCTTGGACTTAGCTGGAGAGATGCCACTGAGCCGGAGGGGAAAGAGATACATACTGATCATGATTGAGCATGACAGCAAGTGGGTGGAGGTACGGGCATTGCCTATCAAAAACTCGGCTAGGATAGCTGAGGCATTCAAAGAACAAGTGCTCACAAGATTTGGGGCGTGCGGGGAGGTGCTGACGGGTCAAGGGACTGAATTTATGGGAGAGTTCGACAAGCTGCTGCAAGTCACCGGCATCACACACCGAAGGACGTCTCGCTACCATCCGCGGAGCGACGGGCTAACCTAAAGGTTTGTGCAAACGATGAAGCGGGGGCTGAGGGCATACGGGGAACGGTTCAAGCGAGACTGGGACGCCAGACTGCCGTGGGTAGCGGCAGGCTACTGGTTCAGCAAGCAGGCAGTGCTGAGAGATATGTCCCCCTATTACCTCCTCCTAGGACGAGAGCCAGTGCTACCTGTGGATGCCCCAAAGATCCTGACAGGGTCAGTAAGGCCAAGATCCTGAGAAGGAGGAGGACTGGGTGGAGCTTGCGGAAGCAAGAGCCTGGTACTTGCGGGAGCTACTACCTGCCGCATTAGAGAACCTGCACATGGCGCAGCTGCGAGATGCTCAGCGGTACAAGAATAGGGGGGAAGGGCAAGCTAAGAAGAAGGAAAGGGTTTTGGAGGCTGGGGAGGAAGTATACCTGAAGCAGGCCAAAACATGACGTGACGGATGTACGGCTAAGCACCGAGCGCTGGAAAGTAAAGGAAGTGAAAGGCTCAGGGGTAGTGGAGCTGGTTAGCGATCAGGGGCAGCAGCGGACCGATCATTACACCAACATGGCGCGGGCTAGGGCCAGGCCGGGACAGCAGGAGAAAGCACAGGCACCCAATCGAGAAATTCAGCGGCTGCCGGCAGGTGCCAATGGGCAGCTACGGAGGGGGCAAGTGAAGGGCACCGACAGACCCAAAGGGAGGATGAACAAGGAGTTGAGGAGCCTGTTGGAGTCGGGGTGAAGGCAAGAAGCAATGGGCGGGGAAGTCAGGCAGGCAAGAGCAGGGAGACAGAAGATTCCGACAGAATCTGCAAAGTTGGGTAAGGCATGATTTGGCACAACAGTACCCTGCTAAACCCATGTTATATTCAAGCGGCTGCTTGTTTGCATGTATATGTGCCCCTGTATTGAACATAATCGACACCAAATCTGTGCTCATGCTCCCTATAACTCTCAGCTCCTTGTGTTACAGGCATAGGGCCACCGGTAAGAGTGCAACGGATGCAGCTAACGAAGGGGGCCCGGAAGAGCGAGTGGTACCCCACTATCCACAGGAGCCTCGCGGTTCTTCACGCCATGCTCCTGCCTTTCTAGAGTCGCTGCTACAGCACCCGGCACACCAGGAGAGGAATCCGAATCCCCTCCACCAGGCCTCATCTCGTACTCCCCACTTGCCTCACCCTCATTCCCATATCGGCAGCTCCATGCTTCTCATGTCCAGGTCAGGGCGGTCTCCCCCCTTGCCGGTCCTTCGCACGCGCATCAGCCAAGCACTTCTGCCAATCCCTTCCCTGAGCTGCCCTTTTCCTGCCAGCGTGATAGTGTGAGGGCACACGGGACTGCTGCAGAAGACCTTGATCCCCTTGGCCAATGGGGGGATTCTTCACACAATGTTCCCAATCACGTGGGTGCCCTAGGTGAGAGTGCGGAGCACGAGCACTTTGTTACACGGGACGAGTTCCGGGTGCTACGGGCTGAGATGTACGCCATGTTTGCCCAGCTCGGCCTGCATCATGGAGCACCTGCCAGTTATGCCGGGGAATCCTCCGAGGTGCCTATGGCTGGTACCCTGCCGCCGATGAGTGCCGTGGACAAGGCAAGAGTGCTAGTGCTGCGGGAGACAAACCCATTCCCGGTATGTGGCGGGCCAAATGGGGCGGGTTGGGGTTGACGTGGTAACCAGGGCAGGGTTGGGAATGAAGCGGCGGTTTGAAAGGGTGAAAGGGAGCGGCGC